AAAAAGTATATTAATTAGTAAATAGTCTATTATGGATCGATTACGGCATGTCGATCATTGCGGCTTAGGCTAACTGCGCCACCAACCTGGCACACATTCAAGACGTGCTTACGCAATGACTAATGACGTATACATATAATGTAACTATACGTATGTTGTATCACAATTTATAAAGATAAATTAAAAACATCGGAGTAGATTTTATTTTTGAAAGCATTATCACTATATTTCATAATGGCTTCAAATGTCGTGGTTTTACTTCCCAATGGTAAAAAACAAACTGTAAAGACGACACCTATGATGCCGTTGAAACAGATTGTCAACGTTGTTTGTGAAAAGCAAGGATACAAGGACTCAGAGAGTTATGGGTTAAAGTATGTTAATAATCTGATAATAAGTTGATCTACTATCTATCTTTATCTTTACCTTCCGCTATCCAGTTTTACATATACAAACACGCATATATATACTTTCGTTTAATTATAATACTTAGGATAAACAAAAAAACACTCGATCTAGGACTTGCTATAAGATTTGCCAATCTTGCGCCAGGCGCCAAATTAGACTTTGTTAAAGTTTCTGCACCAAAAGGTAAATAGAATAAAGCAAATAAGATTAAATAAGCCTGATATTTCTTATTTTACTTATTTTTAACAATTTTCTATTTATTAGTCCATAAAGATGTTCAGATTGCTTTACAATTAGATGATGGTGGAAGGATGATTGATAAATTTCTAACAACAACGTCTATTTGGGATATACTACTACATTTTGAAAAAAAGTCTGATAATGGGTAATTAATTATATATGTTTCAGAAAATATTATATTTTAATGTTAAAAATATGATCAAATTTTTATAAATTGCTTAATTCAAGGTCTTTAAACCTTACGAGACGAACTGCGCCTGCACCCAAAAAAAAGGGAGTCTCGTTAAAAAAATTGATTAATAAATCAAGCGATGTACAATTTTATCTACAACCTGTGTGTTTAATATTAAATCAAGAAGTAATTTCTAATGATTCATTTATTTTTTTAATTAAATAAATTTTTTTTTTTTTATTCATCATTTAATTAAATATAAGCTACTTTTTTTTTTTTTTCATAGTATGGAACCATTGTGTCATTGAAATCCACAACTTTACAATCTGCTGGAATCACATCAGGAAATGCTGTATTACGCCTTCTATTTAGACAGACTGAATTAACACTAAATGATGTTTTAAGGGATATTTTAGAGTCAGTTAAAGCACCTATAGAAATATCATCAGAAATTGTGTCTGCCAAAACTGTTGATGAACAACCAAAGGTGCAAACTAATGCTGTACCGGTACTTGATGAACAACCAAAGGTACAAGCTGATGCTGTACCGATACTTGATGAACAACCAAAGGTACAAACTGATGCTGTACCTATACTTGACAAACAATCAAAGGTTCCAACTGATACTGTGAATACTCCTGATGAACAACCAAAGAAACAGATTGATACTATGAAAACCCTTGACGAACAGTCAAATATGCAAATTGATATTGTGAATACTCCTGATGAACAACCAAAGAAACTGATTGATACTGTGAATACTCCTGATGAACAACCAAAGAAACTGATTGATACTATGAAAACCCTTGACGAACAGTTGAATATGCAAATTGATACTGTGAATACTCCTGATGAACAACCAAAGAAACAGATTGATACTATGAGTACCCTTGACGAACAGTCAAATATGCAAATTGATACTGTGAATACAGTTGATGAACAGTCTGAGATGCAAATTGATGCTCAAAATGATGATTCTGTGACAAAAATAGAATCTATTTCAAATATATCATCATCTGATATACAAATGGAAGAAACAAAATTGGAACATCCCGTTGAAGAGAAAGAATTAAATGAAATACAATTAATAAAAGATGATGTATCAGAAACGAATAAATCGTCAATTTCGTCAGTTACTATAGATGAAGGACATTTTGATCGTGATATAAAAGTATTTAACCCACCACCAGAAAATGCTGTGATGTCAAATACAAGTAAGGCTTATTGTTGATATAAATTATTATGTATTTTTATAAGTATTTATCTTTTTTTTTTTTTTTTGTTATTTAGTTGACCTTCCGGATTCTTTCTATGAGTTAACTACCGCTGAACTGAGATATTTATTAGCAAAACAAGCCAATAAACATAAAAGGGAAGAGAATGCGGGATTTAAGACTAGTGCTATACGAGCTAAAGAAGAGAAAGAAAGGGAACGCAAGTACCCAAAGGTCATTATTATACAACATAATATAACATAATTTTATTTTATAAATGCTATGGCAATACTTATCATTATTATTATTATTATTACAGACGTTGGTCAGAGTTAAATTTCCCGATAGTTTCCAATTGCAAATTGCCTTTTTATCTAAGGAACATGGTATTGTTACATTTATATTGAGTGATTATATTATAAAAACAAGCAAGTCTTAATACATCAAGAATTGACTTTTATTGTATTTATAGTCGCAGATTTATATGAATTTGTTAAGAGTGCGTTACGAACTCCCGATCGTAAATTCGAATTGTGTATGCTTTTATTTTTAAAATTTCATAAAGTTAATGTAATCATTCCTATAAGTAATTTTAAAACTAATATTTAAATTATAGACATTAGTCCACCTAAAAAGACCCTTTCGGATAAGGGCCTTACTTTATATCAAGCCGGATTGGCACCTGCTTCATTAGTATATTGTATTTGGACAGATAAATTATCTGGGAGTGGTACGATAAATTTCATCTATTATTCAGTTTTGATGAAATGATCATTTTTTAATATGAAATGTATCTATTTTTAGATGTTGATCCCTATTTATCTGACGAATATCTAAAACTTAGAGAGGATATTCCAAATATCACAATAAGTGAAAGTGTCTCTACATCATTCGTTTCAGACAATTTATCAGTAAGGATAAACGATGTAGTACGTAAGCATCAGAATGATTCACCTAAAAGTCACGATAGGAAAGAACACGTTGAAAGTTCCAGCAGCAATAAATCAAAGTTTCCAAAATGGTTCAAAAAACCAAAATAATTTTTGTTCTGCATAATTATATATATTAAGAGGTAAATCGTGGTTAAAGGGTATAGAAAATAGCAGTAGAAATTGCCGGAAGTTAATATAGTTTTTCTATAGGGTTGGAATACAACTAGCTTACAATGAAAAGTTTTTTTTTATGCCAAGTAAACTTTCCTTGAGTTTCATTCAATTGGTTGAATTCTCCTTTATAACTATATGATTTTTGATTCTTACATAATTAGAAGCTTTCAGCATTCCAACATTATATGAAATTAATAGTAATTATCCGCCGATTTTTATTATGAAATTTATACCCTTCAATTGTGATTTACAACTTAATATTGTTAAGCTTTAAGATTTTGGGGACTCTAAAGTTTTGAGGAATTAATATAACGACATTATCAAATGTTTATTCGTTAACATTTTATTGATCGTAGACTTATAAATAGGATAGAATAATTCATTGTAATTCTTTATTGTGTAATCTTGAATAATTATTATTGTAATTAGTTCAGTATCTGTATCTATAGTTTACTTCAATTAGGTAATACGCAATAATTAAAATTCAACATGATTTATAATGTCTTAATCTTATTCAAACTTCATGATATTCAAATGCAATATACCTATACTGTATATACATTTAACTATTAAAGTATAGGCATCTATTACAAGTGAATTTATACCTGTATACTTTTGATAGCGATAATTTTCAAGGACTGAGGGTATAAATATGGTTTATCAATGACCATTTCCTGGTGATCTCGGTTAACTAAGTGTATTCTCAAGCCTCAACCTCGATGTGATTAGCTTATATAGTAATATGAATTTAAATTTATTATCAAATCAGTCACGATAATATCTTTTAACTCACTCCAATTTGGATTGAGTTCAATCGCGAGTATCTCTAGAATGTTATTAATAATTTTAGTTGTATCCTATCAATGTGAAGCGTACGTGAAATGTGTATGATATAGATACAATCGGATCAAATATAATATAGAGGATCCCTGTACTATAACTGATTGATTAGATTAATAGACGATTTTATTAATAGGGTCACCTAATTTATATTTGATCCGATACGATCTAATACTTAGTCACGAAAAGTAGATTCATGAATATGATTAGTTCACATTTTTGGAAAAATGTTAATTTTTCGCGTTTGTGTCGCGTTACAGATGATCTTACAGACGTGTCAATGAAATAAAAAAAAAAGTATTTAAGAGACACCTTTACTCCTTTGCTTAAGTTTTTCTTTATACCGTACTTTACTCTCTTTACTTTTACTCTTCGCTAATTTAGAAGATAATTACACTACATATATACTTATTAATAAAATTGATTTAAATTAATAACGATAATTTCGATTCGGATCATTAATTCAATATAGGAATGTATTGTAACCAATAATTTGATGAGTTAAATAAAAGTAACACCAGGAAAAAACCAGACTTTGAGTTTCAAGTTTATTATTTATTATTTACCGGATTTAGCCCTGATCAAAGTTATATCTAATATGTAAGTAAATTTAATTATGCATTATGTAAGTTATCAGTCAGGTTTAAGTCCGGTAAATTATAAATAATAAACTTGAAAGTTCAAAGTCTGGTGTCCGAATCGTAGCATTGAAAAAACCAATGAAATTCGAGAGATGAGTGTAAACAATTATAATAGTGTATGTTACATGACTGGTTCTTCACTCGGTGTGCAACACATAAAAAAATTATTTTACAAATAACAGATCATTTCGCTAGTACAAGTTATGATTATAATTTAACACCATTTTAATTATAATATAATGTGTTGGATTATAATTATAGCATGTCTAACGGAATGATCTGGTATTGTAAAATAATTTTTTTATGTGTTGCACACCGGGTGAAGAATCAGTCGTGTAACATCAACGGATCATATAGGCTAACTTTCTCATGATTGGTCAATTTTATTCAATTGAATTTATATAGTTAAGAGTACTTTTACCCTCTAAGATAGTAAAATTTTTTTCAAAAAAAAAATGTAATTGCTGTTTATAATATTACAGAAACTTTTTACAAATGAAGCTTTAAGTATTTAAAGTATTTCTAGAATTCATTTTACCTAGGTAAACTTTACTTAAAACCAAAAAAAATAGTAATATATAAATATACACATTAAAGTTTTTAATTAATCTACAAAAATATAGTTAACTTGTTTGAAAAAGATCTTGAAAGTAGTAGTAATCTTACAATAATATTAAATTAAAATAGGTTACAATACTTAAAGCTTTACTTAATTATAAAAAGCATTTAATAAGTAGTTTCATATTTCAGGATTTGGAAATTTATATGCTTAAATTTGAGATTTTTTAGTATTATTTAAAAAGCTTATACTGTATGTTTATTTATTTTTTTAAGTAACAAATAGGTTTTATTTTTATTCATAACTTATATTTAAGATAGGTTTATTATGTGTTATGAGTGGAGATAAGAAAATCGAGAATTTTTTGAATCTACTGTGCAGGCTGCACAACCTGCACAGGTTCACATTACGGCTAATGTGGGTCAGAATTGTTAAATTTTGGAACATTCTAAAAAATTCGAACTTCAAAAAATTCTGCCTATGCAACGTCCTATCTCTAGCTATGAGAATTTTATTGTTTGATATTTGATAAAAGTGAATTAGATTATTTTTAATCTATTTCTACTATTAAGTTGTTATATCTTATATTAATTCAAGATTTTAATTAATGTATGTGTAAAATCAATATAATATCATTTATAATAAATAAAAATTTTTGCTATCACACAATTTACAAACATAATGCAGGGCTAGATGTAAATCGATGACCGGGTTTTTATAAAAATTTAATCCTTAATAACTTTTGAGCCAACAAACATGTGCAAATAAAATTATATTTGTTGAAACTCTCTTAACATATTCTTTATAAGAAAACCCGGACAATGAATTACTATGTGCTCGTAGTAAACCATATGAATATTAAGATCAAAATTTTATCAAGTCAATTAATAAAATATATCCTGAAATTTTCACATTTTACGTTTACACGAAAGTAAAATGTAAAAGTGAATTTACACGAAAATTTTAGAATATATGAAATTTGTTATCCCGAACATAAACATTAATTAACTTAGTAAAATGTTGACCTTAATACATATATGGCTACTATAATCAATTAGGAAAGTAATAACTCTTTATATGAGCAATTGGTTCAATAAAATTATTTTTATATGCAAATAATTTTATGACTTTAATGATCAGGTCCCTGCAAATAACACATCGATTCAAACTTAGCGAGAATCAATAAACGACACATAACCTACAACATAGCCACTTGGCCGATTTCACTAGTAACGTTCATTCAATTGTAAATGTATGTTGCAATGATTTAGCAATAATTTTTATAGTTATTCATTGAATTACATCAAATACTTTATTAATCACATTATTCATTGCAATCAATTTTATTCGCAGGTGATCTGTGATAAATATATCAATTATGTTGAATTATAGTCTTGAATTGTAATATATATCTAAGTGTATTATATGCTTTACGATTCTGGTGGAACGATGTAAAGAATAATAAGAAATGAATCTTGTAATTTATTGCAACCTATGGTATTATGAGCCAATTAGCACATTACAATAACTAATAAAATGATAAGAAACGATTTTAATCAAATTTAAATTACCTTTAATTTGTTAATTATGATAAATACAGTCGACGCACAATCAATATCATTACGCGTAACGTACAAAAATCTAAATGCTATCATAACAACTAAACTAACAATTATCACTATCACTAACCCTAGCCTCAAACTCTAACCTCTAACCGTAAATATAACTAATAATGTCATTTCTTAGAGAACACAATCGATCAACCATCATTCCGTAAATCATAAAGACCACCGCTAAAAATCATGCAAACTTCAACCACAAAACGTCGTAGCAAATAGGCTTAGAACATCGTAAAAAATGGTTGTGAACGTCTTAGAACTTACTGTGAAAACAATGTAGAGGGAAGCTAAAGAGAAAATTATATTAGACAGTGTTAAAAAAAAAATTACGATGGGTTCCAGTCGCCCGATTTTAACTGATCGAGACTACAAAGAAAAAAAACTCCTGGTAAGTCAAAAAAATATGCACACGTGTGAATTCAGAAAACGACGCCAGTATTTTATTTCCAGGTTCAACTTCTAATGAAGTTTAAACAAAAAAAAAAACACAAATGACGGCGACTCTAACTACAATAGAAGCACTTTATTGTAGATCTGGAACGTAATATGCATGTTTAAATATTATTTACCAATCAGTGCACTGCTTTTTTTTCGGTAAACGAAATTTATTTCTGGCCACTTTAAAACTACGCCGAAAGACAACGAAACCCCAGCATTTTGCAATAGAATTTCGTGCACTGTTACCAATCTATAAAATAAATTTTGGGCGAAAAAACTTTTTAACTCTGAACTCGTCAAAATAAATACATTGATACTACTGCATGATTACAACATATAACAGTAAAAATTGGATTTTTTTATATTCAAGCCGAAAAATATTTATTATACATATGATTAAAAATTTATTAAACTTTTTTTTAATATTTAAAAAAATCCTTAATTAATATAATAAAAATTTTATTATTAAACAGTATATGCAATAAAAAAAAGGCTTTATTAAATCTAATTAACTTTAAAAAAAAGGTTTATCGCTAAATAATTTAATAATTAAAAAAATATCTAGAAAAAAAAAATACTAATCTTAAAGAAGTTTAAACACATTTAGCGAAAATAATTTTCTTCACTTTCGATAGTAGTATTAATATTTTATAATAAAATAAATTGAAAAGCAGTGCAATAGAAAATTATAGAAAAACCGAAAATTATTATTAAACCCTTTATGGTATAGTTGTTGGTTCGCCGTTTTTCGGTAGGTAGTCGTGGGTTCAATTACTGGTATGCATTTAATAAAAATGTGTGAACCGTGTTATGAAGATCATAAATAACTATGTCTATAGTTCGATCTTAATTAACACGACATCACAATTAATCTACCTCCCTGTTTGGTCGCTTTTTTTTTTTATCGAATAACATATATGTTATTATTACAAAACTTAACGAATTAGGCAGAGGTGCAAAAAATTAGCACAACCGTACCATTTCTCCCGACTTTTGGTAGTAAGTGCGGCTCTATTTTTTTTTACCGACTTCTACCATTAAGCCAAGAGCGAATGTTACGGAAGGCTTTGAAAAATAGGTTAGCACATACCAACCACGAAAAGTTTGTAATATAAAATGTTATCGAAATAAAAAGAAGGGGAAAGGAGGATAATAATGACAAAAATCAATAAAACAATTAGCATTTATATATCGACATGTCTATTGTTTTGAGATCAGTCATCAAAACACACGTCTTAAAATCAATACACAAATTTTAGCTAACGAGTATGTTTTGATGCTTTCGCAAAATCGCAATTCTATAAATAAATAGTACGCGCGATTAATAATCAAATTCGTTACTTTTTTAAATAAATTATTTAGTATATACAAGTGTTCAAGAAATTTATCTATTTGTTAAGGTTATATATGTCGGAACATTACTAATTTTAATGTGGATATATATTTACTTAAGGTAAAAAAATCCAATTTAGAACATGTATCATATAGAATAAAACCAATGGATTTAGAATCAAATATGTCGAAAATTAAGAAATTAGAAATTTCGATACGCAAGTTACTATATTAATTTATGTTTAAATTATGTATTATGAACGAGAAATTATCCGTGACTTTATTTCTATACGATGGTTTAAAATGGATTCTTTAAATAAATATCACATTATATGTCAAAATAGTGCAATTGAGAATCTGCTTTTCCTCAACCGTAAACCTTTGGTTTTTCGTTTTATCCGAGATTATGATTTATTGATAGCGTTCAAAAGTATAATAAACACTTGATAACGATAAATAAATGCCTATAAGGAATTACAACTATACTTGCTGGCAAAACCCGGACAAATCCCAAACCTCAAAAAAACAAAATGCTTTTATAAAAAATTAAATCAACAAAATAATTTTGATATTTTGTAAATATATTATATATAGCTATAAGAATATAAATTATTTGTTTAAATAGATTATTAATAAAGTTTTTGAGATATTAATTTGGGCTTGAGTTTGGGATTTGGGCGCGGACAAACCCAAACTATAATAGTTTGGGATTTGGGCGGCAAGTATAATTACAACCAAATTTGCTCAATGCCTTATTACAAGCCTCGAATAAAGTTTTCATAATTACTTATGACTAGTATTACAAATTGAAGAGTTGAAAAAAATCGATTAGAAACCAATTAATGATTAAAGAATTAGTCGATTTTTTTATATGGAACGCAGATCCCAAAATTTTATTATAAAAAAATTTATATATGATCATCTGCACTATGTTTGTAAATCAACCGATCACCCCAATCAGATACGGTCTAGTGTACCAAATTTGTACGCTTGATGGGATTGAGCAAATTATATTAAATTATATATATTAAATTATATTAAATTATATTAAATTAATATTGGATTGTGTACGTAGTATATTTGACGATTTAAGGGATTATACGGACGCATGAAATTTATAACTGTTATTTTTTTACAAAAAAATCGACCGTGAAAACACCAGTAATGACATGCCAAATTTTTAAGCCGTATAATGTAAAATCGCGGGAAATTGGTCGATTTTTCGATTTTAAGAGAATTATAGATTTCCAAATATATAGATATCACTGATCGAACATATGATTGATAAAAAATCTAGAATCTTCGAAATTCTCCACTATCGTCATCACGAAAATCGTGGGGTCACACCTTTTTACAAACCTCTATAATGTAAATTTCTTCTGTCTCAAAGTTTTATCAACTGGTAATAACAAACGTTGCAAAATCATAAATTTTTAACATTTAAAAGGGCTAAAGAGTAGTGTAGACTTCAAGCTACCTACCTTTAATTCATAAGTGTGTCCCTCTCTGGACTATCATGCATTTATAGCACCATTGTCCATTGTCATGGGAAATCTACAGATTCCCTTTGATTTTCCTTATTCGTAAAATAGGCTAGTGCTCCTAATTGGTCGATCTGAACGACCCAAGTTAGATCGTATGATCTTAAGGAATATGTACATATAAACTTTTTAAATACATATTCCTTAGAAACATCATAAATCGCAAGTCCCTAGTTAGTACTATATTATCAGGAGTTCACTACACTTATAACAAGCGCAATATGTAATTCCTACCTACAATGATTTTAAATTAAATTTAATTCGGGTAGACGATGTCCTGGCTTAAATAACATTTTATGCTATATAATTATGACAAATCCTACATGCAATGATACTTTTTACGTATTAAATTATTTCTTCCAAAAATTTTTATTCAATTTTCATCGTATCATTAAATATTCTTGATACATATATTTTATAAAGCCATGTAAATGCTAAAAACAAGTAATTAAAATCTTAGCTTATAAAAGAAATTTAATATATCGTTCGTTACATTGGTTCTCTTTCAATTTTCGACTTTTTCAAATTTTATTTGCTTTGTCGGTCGTAAAATCCCCAGAATCATTGTGTATAATGTGCCAAAGATTGAAAAAATACTAATAACTTAAATACTTTTAATTCCAGCCAAATTCAGTACTAATCACGAATTCATAAGTACAGATAGTATAACACAAAAAAGAGACTAAAAATGGTTGCATATACTCATACATTGTAATTGAGAACATAATTATTAGTATTTGCTAGAGATGCAATTCAAAGTTTTGATACTAGAGTTAGAGCTGCTTAAATCGGAAATTATATATGGTATATACTAACTAAAAGTTTTAAGCGAGACAATTAACGTAAAACTTATACGTAAAAAGACTACGTAAATTTTAATCAGACGTTTTATACGTTCGTGTAACGTAACTATCATTTCACGACTATAAAAGGATAAAAAATTAAAAATTGAACTTGTAATTTTTTTTCGACTTTTAGAGGTCTAAAAATAGAGATTATAGGTTTTTAAGGGTAGTAATATTTGTTTGTAAAGAAGTTATTTTACTTCCAAGTACTGTATAATAAATATAAATTACTCAAGCGTAGTTGGTTTTCCTTCATTTACATCTTTTTAATAGCTGTTTTTCAAAATTTTCAAATTAAACATTTCAATACTTAGAACGTTTAGGATAAAATTTTGCACTTGATTAATTTATTCTGGAGAAACAATTTTTAATATTTACTAGATGAATCATGTTCCAACAAGGGTTTCAACAAGGATTTCAACAAGGGTTCCAACAAGGTAAGAAATAAAATAAATTCAAAATGATATACGTTATAAATTCTTGTAATTAATTCTTTTTCCTTTCATCATATAGTTGTCTCATATGTAGCTGGAACATCTGTGCTTAGGCAGTATGATGTTGGGGATCAAATTGCTAGTGCAGGTTTATGGAAAATATATTCAGGCAGGAATAATTTTCGTACTTTTTCTTTCTTAATCAATTCTATTCTTTTGTTAAATTTGTCATTTCATAATAACAGGGACTAAAAAGACAACTGGTCAAAAAGTAGCTGTGTTTGTAAGTAAAATAACTAATCATGAATTTTGTTGACGTCATCATACTACATCTGATAGAATTTAAAGTTAATTAGTTTGTTTAAAAATTTTTAAGATATTTGAAAAAAAGATTTTTGATAATACTTTGTTAAAAAATTATGAAAAAAAAGAAACGGAAAAAGTTTATCAAGTTTTGAAGAAAGAGGTAATAATATAATTTCATTAAATATTGTTAAAATATTCATGATTCATAATTTCTTCATCTCAACCGTTTTTGTTCCTTTTTCTAGGCTAGTCAGCTCGCAAGACTTCGTCATCCATCATTACTTGAAGTTGTTGAGGCAGTGGAAGAATCAAGAACTGTAATTACATTTGCAACAGAACCTGTTTTAGCATCTCTCGCTAATTTACTTGGTAATACTGAAAATTTATCAACCGTCCCCGATGATATCAAAAACTTTGAACTGGATGAGTTAGAGGTATTTTAACGTGCTTTTTGTTTTTAATCCACCAAATATTTATTTATTTATTTATTTGAGCCGACTTTGAATTAATTTGACTATTTATATTAGATCCAGAAAGGCTTATTGCAAGTTGGCAAAGGCCTTCAATTTTGTCATAATGATGCAAAAATTGTTCACTCAAATCTCGTTCCAGAAGCTATATTTGTAAATATTAAAGTATGTTATTTTTCAAGGTATTTTGATCTTATTGGAATTTTTTTTCGGATACTAATTGAGCTAACTTTATCATGATTTTATTGTTTGTTAGGGCGATTGGAAAATTGGAGGGTACTGAATCTATTATTTTAATGACATACATGAATTACCTTCGCCTATGTTTTTTCAGAAATCTAAATATTTTATTATTACATAACATAGTTTCGGATTTAGTACCTTTCTCAACAATCCAGATGTACGACCGGAGTATGAATATCCTGATTATGATTCACGGATACCATGTTATGCTCAAAAAAACTATGATTATATGGGTAAATTTCACAAACTACTGCATATCTGATTTCTATTTTGAATATATGTTAATCAAAAAGTTGTTTGTTGTTATGTAGCCCCAGAGTTTGTGTTAGATGAATCACTTGAGTTCGCAAATGATATGTTTGCTCTTGGTTGTTTAATATATACAGTACATAGTCATGGAAAACCTCCAATGGAAAATCGCAATAGTATACATAATTATCGCAAGAACATTGAAAGGTTATCATCGACTAAGTATGACCATCTTCCTTATCATCTTCATGGTAACCTTTAAACAACTCTTTTTGGTTGTTTTTCTCTCTTTTTTTCTTTTTTTTTCCCTTTCTTTTTCCTCGTTTTTTTTTTTTTTTTTTTTTTTTTTTTTGTAGTTAATTTATTTATCTTTTTAATAATTTAAATGCTAATGTCAAGTTTTATTTTATTATTTTATTTTCGAAGAGGTCATGTACCATTTGATTGCTCGCTACCCATCACAGAGAATGACTGCTGCCGAGTTCCAGACATGCAAATATTTTGATAATGTTCTTGTTTCCACCGTCAAATTTTTTGAAAGTTTTCCTGAAAAGACCAAGGATGATAAAATTAGTTTTATGAAAGGGCTAGTTCGAATATTACCTCAGTTTCCTGAAAGAATTTTGTTACGCAAGGTATTAAGGAAAAAAAAAAATTTTTTTTTAACAAAATAGTCATGGGAACATCAAAATACTGTTTTTAGTCTGCTAACACATATAACTTTTTTTAAGATTTTACCATGTCTTCTTCAAGAAATTAAGGATTATAGTCTTTTACCCTATACTCTTCCTAATATTTTCTTTATATCTCAAAAATTGTCATCTAATGATTTTTGTGAGAAAGTTCTTCGTCCAATAAAACCGATTTTTGTTGTTGCCGAGCCCGTACAAAATTTACTCACATGTTTAGATCAGATGGAACTGTTTAAACAAAAAACTTCATCTTCCGTTTTCAAAGATGGTATGTACGATGATGCCAATATCTTATCAATTTGTATCAATTTCGTATTAATTTGTGTCAATATCGTATCAATTTGAATCAATTTATATTAATTTGAATCATTTAATTATCGATAGATGTAATGCCCTTAATTTATCATTCTTTGGAGGCAAAATCACCTGCAATACAAGAGAAAGTCCTTAGAGTTGTACCTATAATAGTAGACTCGCTAGACATTCTTACTATTAAATCATCTCTGTTTCCTAGGATACAGGTAGCTATTATTTCATAAGTAATATCATGTGCATAATAAATATCATGTATATTAATGTTTATTTATTTATTAATTTGCATATTAATAGAATTTATTTGTTCACACAACAATATTGGCTGTCAAAGTTACAACATTAATTTGCTTGCATTCACTAGTTAAATCATTAGACAATGTAAGTTTTATGTTGTATACGGAAAAATATCCGTTTTTTTGTTTATTGTTTATACAATTCGATAATAAAAATTTATTTTTGATATCAAATAGTTCACTTTAACTGAAAAGTTGATGCCATTGTTAAGAGGTATCAAGACAAAAGAACCGTCGGTAATGGTAAATATCATAGTTTTAAGCATAAAATGTCGAGATCACGTGTTTATTATCAAAATTTCACGTTACATACGATCTTGGTATTTTGTTTATATGACGTAATTTCGACATTATTACCGTATTCATTGTATTCATAGTAATTTTTATTAATGTTTAAATCATTAGATTACAACGCTTGCTGTATATGATGAAATGGGAAAGCATGTTGAAAAGGATGTTATTGCTACAGAGATTTTACCACAGTTATGGAAAATGTCTGTAGTACCTACTCTTAATATGGACCAAGTATGTAACTAATATTTTATATTTTCGGTTTGATTCCTTTAAACGTTCTGCTAAAATTTATAATTTTATAGTTTCAAAAATTTATGAAATCTATAAAATTATTGTCAACGAGGGTAGAAGAAGAACATAATAAACAACTTAGAGATATTAAGAATATCGAAGAACATACTAAAAAATACATCGAAGGAGGAAATGGTATAATGAATTAATTTCATTCATTTAATTTTTTTAGTCATTTAATTTTAATAATTTAATTGTATTCATTTAAACTCGATTTTATTTTCAGAAAAAAATAAGGATGAAGTTGGATCTTCAATTGATTTTGAAAAATTGGTTGGATCTACTAGTGGAATTACTAATAACGCTAATGGCGTAGTCAATGGACAAAATAAGGTACAAATGGAAATGCATCCAAATTCACTTGCTTTAGGAACCATCGGCTTGGTAACTTTTGCATAAAATGTTATAATATTTATTCTAAATTGAAAATTTTCGTTCTTAATTAATCATAATTTTATTTATAAAGACATCCTCAAATAATTTAAACTTGTCGTTGAATGGAAGTATACAACCCGATATTTTTTCTTCAACAACCACAACTTCAATAGTACATTCTCAGCCTCGAAATTCAATGAATTCATTGAATTCCTTGAATTCCTTTTCAAGTCCAATAAACAACACTCAACCTACTCAACCTTCAAGCAATTTTAATTCGTTATCTCAACAACCTGTAAATGGCACTCTTAACAACATTCAACAACTTTCTAACCAAAACACACAATCATTCAATGATAACATCCCATCACTTCCTCCACCTAACATTGGTACAATGCAACGTCTTAGTGCGCCGACAATGCCAACGCGCACCTCCAATATTACGTCAGACTTATTTAATACCATCCCAGGACCTAAATTTAATTCTGGAAGTACACTTCAACCTGGAGGTATACTTCAACCTGGAGGTATACTTCAACCTAATGTTATGAAACCAACCAATAATCATTCAGGAAATCAAAAAATATCTCAGGCGGATTTAACAATGTTTGATCCATTTTCTAAGTCATAAGTATTATAATTTTGCTATTACGTAGAATATTGATAACTTTTTTTATATATTAATTTTATTTTTTTTAAAAGAACTTATTATATTAGTGTATTGTATAATTCAATATTTTACAGGGTTGATTTGGGTTAATAATTTTAAATGGATATAGAGATGAATTAATTATTAAATAAAATTATATAATGTAGTTATTTTGTTGATTGTTAATTATTTTAAGGTTCAAAATTGTGCCGAAATTAAGTTCATTGATTTGGTATAGATCAGTTCTTATTATAAGTATAATATATATATATATTTATATGGCTTAATTATGAACTCTGCTTCGTTCGAATTTTTTCTGAAAAAATTAAAGGATTTATTTTAATCTTTTTTATTAATCACCAATAAAAAAATACCATGAAATCACAGAATAGCTTGTCACGTTTAACCAACCGTATTAAACCAAATTTTGAGACTTTGAAAAATTATTTAGAATAACGATTGTTAGACGGAAAATTATGAATATTTTGGGAAATCAAATTTCACTTTTAATTTTAAAATCAATACGTAGCGATAGTTGAAATAATTTATCTGGGTGAATTCACCAACTCATACAACGGTATGTAAATCACCAGTCAAAAAATTTTCGCTGCATCACGTGATAAATGATCATCAAATCAAATTTCACGAATTTGTATATAATGAAAATTAGATTACAAAAATTTTTATTCGAAATTAAGTTCAAAGACGATTTTACATATTAAATCGAAGTCAAATAGTTGAATATAAATTATTGATTGGTTTTATCAAATTAATTAACAAGAAGGCTTTTTTACTTAAATCTTTTTTTTTTAATTTTATGATTTTGGTTTAACCAAATTATTATCTGCTTAAGATTAATTTCAACACATAATAGTAAGAAAACACAATATATAAGTCAACATAATTATTTCAAAAAAAAATTGATTTTGAACAAAAACAATTGTTCAAATTTAATTCACATTCAGATTTTTAATATTACAGTTAGATTTTAAATTTAAAATATATTGTGATTTTGGTCCTTTCAAGTATTTTGAATTTTTCAATGTCTATTATATTTCTTACAGTCATCTACAAAGAATTAAAGTTTTTATCAATAACATTAATCCATTTTTTAGCATCAGACTGTTGAGTATTTTCTTTGATAATAGATTTGATATGTTTCATTAACAAGTAAAGTTCTTTTTTCTTCTAATTTATGATCTCTTTATTGTTTGAAACTTTATTTTTTTTTTTAAAATGATCTCTTTGGTTTTTTGATTTTTATTAATCACTTATTGGTATTATAGTTCAATGAACCACTACATGAGAATGTACAATTGGTTACATATGTAACTTTTCTATATTACCTATTTAAGGAGTTCATATGAAGATTCTCTACCAATTGTTATACCTAATATTTTTGCTTAGGTATTCTACTTTAAACTCTTTAAATCTATAATCTGTATTAACTCATTGGGTTATACTTAGATGTCTAGATCATCATCTCAACCTTAGGACTAATTTATCCTTGAAGTAAACTTCTCAGAATTTTTTGTATTTATTTTTACAGTTAATTTAGGTATTGTTATAACAGAACCAACACTTGTAGTCAGAACTTAATCATTAAATTACTATGTCTTTGTAGAGTTCATTTAGACCTTAGCATCTACTTCATAACATAATCTCAGTACTTTAGTATATTTTTGAATTTCATCAGACTTCCAATTCAGAGGACTCATATAGGACTATGATTAATTCATCAATATATTAGATTGGTCTAATATTTTTTTTCTTTAGTTTGTTTTAGCAAAATGGTTAGTGATATCTTTAAGACTTCTAACCTGGAGATTCTTGCTTATTTAGTTATTAAGATCTGGATATCTGTTTCTTTAGACTAGTCTTTATAGTAATATTGTTAAAGATTCAACTATCTTTCTACTTAGATCTTTTTAAATAGACTTCTTATTACTTAATTTCAACAAATTTATATAATCACAAGAACTTATCTAGTGTTTGTACTGTCTGATTTGTCAGTTTACATTCTTTTGTATAACTTCAATATTGTATAGATGCCTTATGACCTGCCAGTTATATTGGTACAATTGTTATTACAGATATCCTAACCAATCATTAGTAACAGTTATTATAATATGAATATTACATATATTATTATTCAAATTTTTGCTATCAATAGGATTTGAACATCCAACCTATCATTTGGAGAGTTGACAATCTGACCACTTCACTAAGTCATCACACTTTTGTCTAAAACTTTATATTCTTGAAAAGATGATTCTATATTATTAGTAGTTTTTTTTATTAGAATTAAATTACTAAAACTTTTTTATTTGAATTATTTGAATTATTTAAAAATTTTTTTATTGAAAGCATTTAAATTACATAAAGTTTATTATACAAGCCTTCTATTCTTATTTTGACAATTATGGTTCATATTTAAAAAAATATGTAATGTTTTATTAACTAAAGATAAAAAAGAAACATATATCTACTTATTATATAATACAAAACTTCTGCCAAATTATATATTTTCTCTAATATGAGATATATATTCCTTAGATTGTAGGCTTTTGCAAACAAATTTGCCTACATAATTGTATTTTTTTGGCTCTAATTTATTTTTTAAAATGTTAAAGTATCTAAATAAAATTTAATATAATAATATTTGAAAATAAAAATTATTTTTTTGCAATATTTATTTTTAAATTATAAAAAAAAAAAAGTAAATTGCTTATAGACCAAAAATGTTATAATTTTAAAAAATTTTTAATAAAATATTTTTTTAGTTTATTTATGATAAACTTTTTAAATATTAATTTTAAACCTATAATTTTTAATATAACTTTTTAGTTTATATTAAAGATTATATTTTTAATTATTATAAGTTAATAATTTATATATAAAAATTAATACTTGTCTTAAGAGCAAAATTTTTTTTT